CTGCTGAACAGACATGACGCTCTGTTTTAATCTCTTCATAAACAGGTGACTGGCTCTTCCACAGTACGTATGTGTGGTGGTCTGTAGCGACGCTTCCAGCGGTTGAAGAAGTGAGGTCTCCATGTTCTCACCAAATGGGTACTGCGATACAAAAAAATGTGAAGGTTTTTTATTGTTTTATTTTATTTCAGAAGTCTAATAATAAAAATCTAACTTTATTACATAGTTGTACTGCCCACTGTTATGTGTCACTGGTGGCTGCACTCACTTTATTTTCAGCTCTTCTCCTGCACTGACATTACTCAAGAAAGACTCAACAAATGTTATTGTAAAAATCAATTATGTGTTTTAACACCTGTTGCCTGCTGTGACAGCCATGATGGGACAATAAGAACTGCATTCAAATCACAGAATTAAGTGCCACATTTGTCACTGACAGTGTAGGATGATAACATTCTGCCTTTGATTCATATCTGTCAATTCAGTGTGTGTTTGGATGATGAATATCTATTACCACAACTATGCAAAATGGGCTCAGTAAGGCGTGACAGCAACGGTGAAAGCTACAGCTGCAGCATTCCAGATATGCTTTATTATTGTATGCTTTGTGTCACCAAGTAAACAGCAAAGATAAAACTTCCAGCTCTTCTGCCAGTTCATATTAGCACCCAAGGCTCCTCTCACAGCACCATGTAAATAAAGAAATTTTGTTTTTATATTGAAATAAACCATTCTTTCATTGCTCCAGTGTAGAAGAAGAAATCATTATTTTATAGCCTCTCGTTTGATTCTAGTTTGGCCAGGCATTTGGTTACTCAAAGCACACTTTCTTTATTATCTTTCATATACTGCAACAGGCAATAAAGCACCATTAACAGCCTCCTATTGATTTTTATGTGAATGCTGCTGGTGCGTTGTCCACACAGCCATCATGATGTCTCAAACTAGCATCAGCACTAAAATTTTTACAACTCTTCTGTGGGCTTGGCAGGGTAATGGTAGTGGCCTTTATTGCAAACTCCTCTGCTGGTTAGGAGAGACTGCCTAAGGGGCTCTTGGTGGGATAGAAATGAGAATTTCCTAAAGAATTGCCTGTTCCAGCCTTTAGGATGCTGCCCTCCAAGGACTAAGTGGTAACAAACTGGGTGGGGGCCAGAGGAGTTGGAGCAACAGGAAGAGGTGATAAAAGCTTCAACAAAGGATCAAACTCTATTTAGTCTGGCCTAGATGTTCTAATAAAACCAAGTGTACTGTATCTTATATTCCTCTGCTTAACACAGAACATGTTTTATGCCTACTAATGACAAACCACAGTATCCCCTCTTCTAAAATAAGGCGGAATCAGGTATGTGCCGTCTTGGATTCTGTATGCGCGTTTGTGCTGTCGCAGAGACTGATGGAGGCAGGAGGGCCGAGTGCCCCATAATGAAGCCTGCTCGTTTACTTAATGGCTGAGAACATTGCCCGCACTGATAGTGGTCAGGCTGGGCCCTGTGGCGGTAATGGATGGAAACCAACTAATGAAGCTTCCCTTGCTCCCCCGATTGCTGCATGCATGTTGACTGGTGTGCTGAAATCATCAAGAGCAGATTGAAGGTGAGCAACAGTAAGAGAGCTCTCTTGTCTGACTTACTTGCTCACTGATGAAGGATGTGTACTGGAGCTTTTAAGCTCTAAAAGCTGAAAAGCATTTAAAGCAAATCTGACAGGTGCTATACTTTATGTCCAAATTCTCTCTTCTCTTTTGCTAGCCATGCACTGGCCTCTGTTGGTTATTATATCAATTTAAGGATGAAAGACAATTCTGAATACGTTTAGATTTTTACAGAAGATGTGAAGACACATCCTAGAAATTATCTAGACTTTTTAAATTATACACACGACCAGTTTTTACAGATCTATGTCAGATCTAGTGCAAATGGGTAATCTTTGGGCCGAGTGGCAAAAACAGAAGTGCTAGCCATTTACTTTAAATACCCATTCATGTTTTGTTTTACTTTTATCGTATTACCTTCAGAAAGTAGCCATATTCAGTGGTAAATATGAACAGAATGAGCCTAAAAATTAAGTTTTTATATAGATAAGTGATTCTCTGTCATGGGTGACACTGGCTGTGTTAAGAATAATGTTGGTTTTCCAATAATGACGACCACTTTTGATCTGGGCATAACCGACAATGACAAAAATGTTAAAATAAATGCCCCGAATTATAAGAGGCAATCAATTCTACAACAAAATTCATGAATATCAGTCTTACAGTTGGCACTCCCATCCACTGGTCGAAGCTTGGTGTAGCCAGTTGGTCTAGTTAGAGTGTGCTACCGCTGGATGACGGAAATGTTTAACAGGCTATTGATTAAGCAGTGGTGGACGGAAGCATCCATGTGAGAAAAGCAATGACATGGAGTGCCTATTGATAATGCAATGACTAGTGAATGTTTCTGCAGATAGTCTGGTCTGCCATGTAAAGATACAGAGGCACCTAAAAGAAAGTCTATAAAAAGGATCTCTCTCCACTAGAATAAACAAAACCTTTCAAACATTATTTCCTCTTATATTAAGTTTCCATGTTGGCTGTGTCTGGAAAACTCTTTACTCAAAAATGTTTGGAAGAATACACCCACTCAATTCTATTCAGAAACCTTCACCAAAGACTTGGTTATTATTAAGAAAAGAGAATCCTTGCATAAATACAAGTTTTTTCTTTTAATTTTAGTGCAGAATCCCAGAGAAACCACAGAGTTCTGGTTAGTGAGGCAGACTCTACCTTGCGGATGGCTTCATAAACGGCTCTAAACGCTGGCTGCTTGTCATCATGGTAGACTCCTCTGTTACCATGGAGAATGAAGACACCTTCTTGATCAGCCTCTTGACAGTTGCTGCCATAAATGCAGTGGTCTGGACGGTAGTTCCATTGGCAGGGGAACACATATAAGCTTTCTGTAACACAGCAAAAAGCATGGCTGGGCTGATGAGGATTATAAAGAACTGGGGTTATTCACTAAGAACCCTTCACAAACCAAGCCAAATCAAATATGTTCGTTTGAAGGTACATGTCCAAAACAAAATCCAGTGATGCCTTATTTGTGCCCTAAAATATAATGTTCATGATTCAAAAATTTACAGTATATGTTGTACAAACCTGGGTTATGGTGAAATATGATATTAAGAAGGTCCTGGTCACCCCAGGTGATATTGAGTTTATACTTCTGGAGAAGAGGCATCAAAATTTCCTCCCAACGCAGTGCAACTGGTGTCATGTCATTCTGTAAGGACAAAATACAGCAATAAAGGAGCATTCAGATTTCTTCAGGAAACCAGAAACCTGCAATTCCAAAAAAAAAAAAGAAGAATCTTCACTGTGTGGAACAAATTACAATAGTGACCTCGACTGGTCAATCCTGGTATTACACCCACTTCAGAGGCTCCATCAGTTTTTCAATATCAAAATTTCACAGATCTGTTTTAATCATTACCCAAATGTAAAAATGTTAATATGGATAACATCATATTTCTCCATATATGACGATTATTCTTTACGACACATATCAAACATTGCTGTGATATGTGAGATACCAGCACTGATGCAGTTACGTTTTACACAACACAGACTGGAATTTTGAAAAATTTCACACCCAGAATTACTAAAATCTCACCAGCTTAGTACTTCTTGCCTTATACATATTCTGAATTTTAATGTGATGACTGACTAGATGAAGATTAACACTTTTAGTGTGTAGTACCTTAAAAAATTTCTCCCTGAGGCGTGTCATGTTCATGAGCATCACACCTGAATTGATGCCCGTCTTGCCATAATAAGGGTGGCGGGCAAAACGATTGTACCAGCCGATACGTGGTTCTTCGTGCTCTGGAGCCATGGCAGCTAAGTGGCTCAAATTGAACTGAGAAAGGAGGGCCCAGATGTCCTCTACTGGCTGCAGAAAAAGGATATCTGTGTCCACATAGAGCAAAGAATCCACCTCCTTCAAGATCAGCTGAAAATAAGAAAATTATTGTAAGCATACACTGGAAATTTGTAACTGTTACAAGTTGTACAGTATGTATAGAAGGTTACTCTAGTCATACTGGCAGGAAGAGTCTCTGAGAAGCACAAGGTTTGAAGAGCTTCTTCCACTCCCTTGCATTCTCCTTGGGAAAAGTGATGGAGTAGATGGTGAAGTTAAACCTGTTCTGAACTGTCCTGGGCCAGGAGTCCAGCTTTAAGAAAAGATAAGCACAGAGATCAGAGAAATCATTTACACAGATCTAGTTGTATCTAGGCTACATGTTTAACAGACTGTCTGTGTAAAAGAATACACAACTACATAAAGGTCCTGGTGTTATCAAGAACAGGAAGACACTTACAGCATTTTTGAAGCTGTCATGTAGCTCATCCTCAGCAAAGATGTAAAAGTGCAGGGGCTTTTTGCTGAAGAGAATGCTAGACTTCAACATAGTGAGGGTCTCCTCTAGCCTGGGGCCACAAGCCACCACAGCCAGGTGGCTCCTTTCATCACTCTTTTCCTTGGCTGCAAAGACTGACCTCTCTCTACAAGCGGAGACAAAGAAAATGGAATGAGTATTATTTAACCCAGGCTTTTATTATCACAACAGCATGATTCAGTGACAATTACACTGGAGAACCAGGCTCAGCTGACTGGTACTCAGCCATGTAGGGTTAGGCCTATCATTAAGTCAAGCTTTGTGCTGCCTCCAAGTGCTCCTTGTTAGCTACTACAAGTTGGGAAGCCACAAATGTACCTGTTCACACATTTTAATTTCCTTTTTGCCAATTTTCCATTATAGCTCTTAATACGTGGCATAGTATGAACATTTGGGTAGCAAGACATATTATAGTGCCCCAAGATCTATATTATCATTCTCTTTGCCAAACTGGGAATTACACAAAGAATTTAAATTCAGAAAATCTATAGCTACTGGTCACACCTGACTGCATTTCTGAAACTACAATTACAGATGACAAAGAGTTTGTCAATGACTACTGACAATGTGTTGTATGTATCAGAATGTCATTCTCTGACAAGTATAACAGAGATTAAAAGTTGAAAAGTAATGAGAATTTGCCTTGCTTAAAGTGCTGTGTAGCAGAGAAATGCTTGTACTTATGGCTTCAAAAACTCAAAAGTAGTCACAAAGGACACTGAGAATGCAGCAATAGAATCAGGCTTTGCTTTAAACTGTGGACCAAGGAAGTGGGTACAAGGTGGAAATTGAAGTCTGAATTATTAAAAGGTAACTAGTATCTTATAAAGATGCACAAAATCAGTCATACCTAAGGGTAGATTCCAATAAGCAGTTCACTCCACAAACATCAGCAGGCAGTCTCCAATATGGATTCCAGTAAGAAACTGACAGTGAATTACACCTGACAGAATGAAAACATGAGCTTTGCGATCTGAAACTTGAATTGATCTCTCGAACATATGAACCATTTGATTCAGGGTTTACTTAGATCCGCCCTGGGCTGCTTCCTTTAGTTAGTTGTTTGGTTAAATCCAGCCAAAAATGAGTGAGGCACAGAATTAATTTGGTTAGCAGTAGCTAGCGGTAATGGTTAATAAATTAGCTAGCTAACAGGTAGGATAGCAACTTTGCAGACAGCGTTAAGTTAGATTCATACAAGTTAAAAATTAGCAGTTTTATATAACATTATAGACAGTGAGTGCAAAACAACACAGTCAAAATGCTGAATATATTTTAAAGTTATCCAGCTTGGTTAAATTACCATCAACCCGGTAGCTAACACTAATTAGGCTTTAAGACAGATGAGTAGATGACGTTAACATATCCCGTTGCAAAGTTCACTTAACGTGCAAACAGCACGGTTAAGTTATATTATTTAGTACTCTGGCTCAACCTAACGCTATTGTTACGCTAACTTAATAGCAACTGCTGCAGACGTAACTAGAAATAGCTAATACTAACATAGTTAATCTTTGAAATGGAATTAGGTGACATAACTAGCGTGTTAGCTACCTGTCAAGCTCATCGTTACGGTCTCGAAGGCCTTTAAGTCCTGGCGTTTTCCTGAGAAGGTGCTCCGTGTCATGACTGCTCCTGTCGCGTATCTCCTGCTCTTTCAGATTCCACTGGTCTCTGTTCTCCAAGGTGGACGCTAGGTGACTGAACACATACAACAGTGAAAAGAAGCAGAAGACCACGCATAGCAGAAATGCGCGAAGGTAGCATCGCATTTTGTGTTTCAAGTTTGTTGCGCTAAGGAAACATTTTGATGAAATTAGCTACCGTCTGAAGTACTAACAACTAACTAATCCACCTCAGTCACAAATCAAGTCAGAACCTGTTGGGTGTTTACAGTTTTCCGCCCCGCCCACTTCTGTTACACGTGTTTCGTTGATCAACCGCATAGACACAGTAGGCTATACAAGTTACACGTGATATAATAACGTATAGGTGTGTATGGATCAACCAAATTTCAGTGCATTTGGTGTACATTTTGAGGCAGCTAAATTTTACATGTTAACCTACAGCCAGGTAGTTACTAAGAATCCAATGCACGGTTCATGGGTGCATACCATTAAATCATTCACAACCAACCAGGCAGGATGAGAGCCAGAACAGTAGAAACACACGGTCAGCCCTTTTTAAATATAAAATGTTGCAGCCAGGTGAAGTGAAGAGCAGCTACATTTTCACGAAATAATAAAGATAAAAACCTTTCACACCCTGGTAGAACCAAATCATCTACCTTCAAGCCACAAGCAACAAAAACAAAGAAAGTGTTCCCCAACTGCAGCAAGTATAAGGAACAAGGTGAAGCATAGTGATTAAACATACATACAGTACAGTGAGGAGTGGGACTGTGAAGTTAAATACTCTGTCTGTTGCCTTTTCATGTTTTCTCTTGTATCAGTTATATAGAGAAAAATGGTTAACAAATTCAACAATCCTATCCATCAAGTATGGAAATGTTTATGAAGAAAAAAATTAAAATAAAAAAAACATTCAAGTATCTAGAACTTTATTTAATATTTTACAGTATAAACCATTCTATAGATTAATTCATGCTTAATTCTACCAAGTTAAGAAGCATACTTAGAATAATTGTTCAATAGTTTTACTCACGTTTGACCATGAAACAATTATTGCATCCAATGGCATAAAACGAGAGCTGGATTAGGCCAGTAACCAACAGTGTTATGATAGTGATAATGGCAAAGTGGAAATAATGCTAAAAAATATTCTTTATCATGAATATAGGGTGCCTTTAAGTGCAAATAATGATAACAAAATTCAAGGATAAGCTACGATTCTGATGACTTCTTCACATTTTCTTTCATAATGCATCATTTATTCTGTGCAGCAATGACCACCTGAGTGTAATGCTGATGCAACACTGATGTGTTAAAACACCTCACCACAATCTGGCACAGTTCCCGAACGGCCAGGATTTAATGCTAATGTGACTGTTCCTCTTTTTAGTTCATTATGATAGATTCTGCTACAACAGTTTTTTCAATAAAGCATACAGCATACACTGTTTCTCCTGAATTTTTCATCATCATAGGAAGGCAGTGAAAAATACAACCCCAAATGGAAGTGAATGCAATCATATTGGCATAAAAAAAAGACAAAAAAAAAAAAAAGCAACAAACAAAACAAAAACGTGCATACTGAAGTTCGATCTCTGGTTGAGACTGTTGAGAGTGCAGAAGAATGAGCTGTACTGACTGGGACTGTGAAGGTTAGTGAGTCTCTCCATTAACCGACGAGCCTTCCCCACGGGGAGAGGAGCACCTGGAAAGCACTCGTTCAGTGTTATCAGAGCTTGAACCACTTTGACTGTGTTGGTCTGCTGAGGCAGCGCTTGTTGAAGTAGATGTTGGTTTGGCTTTCTCCTTAAAGTCTGTGATTATTACTGTTAAGTCTCCAACTGTGACCTCTAGATGCTGGGCGCTGCTCCTGTCTATGTTTTTTAATCTGGGCCTGGTGCAAAGAGAGACAAACCGGATTTGACAACTGCTTAGAGGCTACTAAATATTTCAGCACTGACAAAGCGTGGCAACAATATCAAAAAAGATGAATTCATTACCTCATCTTTTTATGGCTTTTCTTTTTCAGTGCTGGTTCTTTATCACTCTTGTCTTTCTCTGACTTTTCTTTCTTCTCCTTTTTGGGGTGTGTGGGTGGTGCAAACTGCTGATTTACTTGCTGTGCAACCAGCTGAGAAACAGGCCGTGGTTTTCTGAAAGAGACAAAAATGTTATTGGCCTTACAGACACATTTATATCACTGAATCTTTAAGAAGGGTGTGCATGTAGAAGGTACTGCTCAGCCTTGTAACTATTCAAAATGAGCAGGAGGAGCAGGGGGCTTGCAACAGTGATTTAAAATTTTAACTCCTGGCTGTATCCATATTCTCAAAAAGTCTAAAACTCAGACAAAAACTTACAACACAAAAATGCATTCTACATCTGCCACCATTGTGCTTAACAAAACACTTATTTGTTCTTTGTTTATGCTATTGATATATTGATGTAATAACTTCTATGTTTTTTGTGAAACTGCTAGCTACCCCCAGTTACATCTTTGGCTAATGTACTCACACATACTGTATTCGCAGTTGCCAGTTCATCTACAGTATTCTATCTAATGCAGTCTACTGTAAAACACTAGTCCTGCATTGTATGCTATCATTAGAGGTTATATATGTTGCATTTTTTAAAAAGTGTTTTAACGGTTTGTTATGATGATGTATTGTGTTATTGTGTCAATTTATGAAGTGTAATTTCAGCATTTGTCCAGAGGTGGAAAGTAACAAGTACATTTACTCAAGTACTGTGCTTAAGTACAATTTTGAGGTATGTGTACTTTGAGTATTTTTATTTTCTGACTTCACTACATTTTACTGAAAAAATAGCACTTTTTACTCACTGCATTTATTTGATCATTTTTGACTGAGATTAATTAAACAAAATACACTATAATCATAAGACCTTACTGATCCCTGGTGGGAAATTCACAAGCTACCCAGCAGTATCTAAAGTACCTCAAAATGTAAGCATACAAGGTAGCTATCAGTAGATCCTGGAACATTAATTGTGATGTACACAATAATATACCAATAATTACAGTCCTGTGTGACATACATTCATATGAACTGTGCCATTGTACATAATGAGTACTATTAGTACTTTAAGTATATTTTATGCCAATACCATTTACCTTTACTTAAGTAGCCATTTGAATGCAGGACGTTTATTTGTAAGAGAGTATTTATTTACTGTATTATTGCTACTTTCACTTAAGTAAGCAATCTGAGTACTTCTTCTACCATTGCATGTTTCCCAAAATGAAGTTCTAAAGTCAGGAACCATGGGGAAATACGGAATCATTTATTTATTTTAGTCCAAGCTGCCAAATTTGTTAAATTCTCAGCAAAAAAATAAATAAAAATAACTGAGAACATGACCTCACTGTACTTAGTGGTAGATGTGGCCCTGACCATGAACCCGACTAAAGTTGAATCACTAAAACAGTTTCAACAAAAACGGAAGATTATAACCTTAATGAGATTAGGACTTATTGCTGAATTGCTATAATAGATATGTGTATCCAGAAAAACAGCTGAGCTGCAGCTGACTTTACCTGTTTCATCGTGCAATATCAAAGTCACGCATCAGAACTACACGCAGCTGAAGCTAATTAAAATAGTTCGGCAGTGCTTTCATCGTTAAAAACGAACAGCTACAGTTATTCTTACCGAGTTGACGTCCCCTTCCTGACATCACACATCATGCACTTAAACGCCTCAGCGCTGTTCCTGAACGTACAGACACTACAGTCCCAGTACCCATCGTCGGAAGAGGGCTTGGATTGCCGCTTTGGCCTTCAGACAAAAACAAAACGGTACATTTGCAATGAGGACAAGGATTTCTAAAACAGCCCGCCAGATAAAGATTTCAAGATAGGAAAAGTAATGCCACTAGAGGAAATTATTTTTGCTCAGAAGCCAGTAATTGAGAAGGGAGCTACAGCTGACACAGGCAGTTGCCCCATGTTAAAGCAGCAGCCAGCCGCCATGAACACTTCACTAAAACGGCTCCATCCACTGACCGAGCTTTCTGTTTTAAATGACCCAGTAAGGTGTATATTTAAAGATACAAGCAACCGTTTTACCTCGTCGGACTCTTCTTGTCTCCCATTTTACGAAACTTCGACCCACTATAGTTAAAACGGCTCAACGTCACAGGTGAGAAAAAGCATTTAGCAGCAACTCATCTGTCTTAGAAACTCCTATCGAGGGGTGGTCACGTGATATGGTACCATCCAATCACTTTTAATGTAATCACAACAGAGGGCAGTTATATGACAACATCGATGAAGGGCGCTTTGCATATTGTACAGCGTTGTGTAAGAAGTGCTTCATGCAGACAGGCTTTAAACTATGGGGATGTACAGATGTACGTATCACCTGTTTTTAAATCTGCCCTGTTATAAATAGTCATAAGAGGTAAATGATGGGAATATATTTTAAGAGATCAAAGATTTTTAGTGTCAATTCACTATATGTGCAGGACATACAGAAAATCGAAATACCGTTTCTCTCTCACCTAGTATTGAATGCCATACCATATAGGAAACTAAAATAGAATAAAAGTAAAGTAAAATAGACTAAAAGCATAAGAAAACTAAGTCAGCTGTCGACAATTAGGCCTATATGAATATAACTGGCATAATGTATGCAAGTTAGGATTTGATTTGTTAATCATAAAAACATTACATACAAGTCATAATCTCTTAATAAAGGGTGCGTTACCAGAAAGTGCCATATGAATTTTTCTACCCAGGTGCCATTGTTAATTATAATTTTGAGGTGGTTGTTAAACCTAATGGTGTATTTCCATTTTATATAGCATACAAGTCACATACTTTTGTTTAGATGCTAATCCAACATGAATATATACAAATAGACTATAACACAGCTGGGGCCATTTCGCGGCTTAAAAGTTACTTACATCGCATTTTGCTGCTAATACGCATGTAATTATTTCGTTATGAGGTATGTTTATATTGAAAATTTCAGTGAAAGATCTGGGTACTTCTACTACTTGCCAACATGAAAAAGTTTGGACATTCAATCACCAACCAGGGGATGGCAGTACTCTGCACTTTTAAGTACAAATTTAGGCGAAGAAGAGTAGACACTACCTTTAATTTAAGCGAAGAAGAGCAGACACTACCTTAAATTTAAGCGAAGAAGAGCAGACACTACCTTAAATTTAAGCGAAGAAGAGAAGACACTACCTTGAATTATAGGGGAAGAAGAAGGAAAATGAGTGTGCGCTGCTTCCGCCTGAGTTAATTTGATTTTGCTTGCAAATGTGCACGACGACTCTGGACTGCTCTGTGTTGGGTTTATGTGTAGATGTCTTTTAGCGATAGGAGAAATATGTAAAACGCACCTTGGGAGAAACCTATTTATTTTATTATTTGGTGAGTAAGTGAGTGTCTTATGATGCTAACATATATGATGCTAACATATATGCTGAATAGCTAGTTTACTAACAGTGGTGCTAATGCATCTTATGCAGTCATAACGTTTTTAACTTCAGCAAACGCAAAATCGATATTGCACTTTGACAGCGGTGGTTTTAATGTTAAATCCAGTTTCACTCACAATATTATAATTTGCTTTTGGTGAACCAGATAAGCAAAAATGTACCCATTTCTTTCTTGTAGTTCCATCGTTCTCTACTGAGACCTCTTGAGGATACCAAAGGGGGGGGGGGACCAAGATCATACCAACAATAGTAAGTGAAAAGTACAGCATTTGTATATTTTTACGGCTATAATAACTAGGAATCGCTAACAGTTATTTCCATTATAATTTAATCTGCCAAGTATTTTCTCGATTAATTAATCATCCACTTGGCGTTAGTGCAGTTAGGGTTAGAGTTATTAAACAGTATTTCTGGACATTCATATCGATTCAGTTCTCTTCCAGATTATGTAAAATCTCTTTGAATAGGATATTTCAAGCTTTGTTACCTGTTAAGCACAATGTAAAACGTTACTTCATATATGTGCTTTGAACTGAACACACAAACATGAGATTTCTTTTTGCAGTGGCATTTCGACATGCTCACAAAACAATTAGAGAGGCATACGAAGAGCGCTTCTCAGCAAACGATGCAAGACAGGTAAATTAAAATTTGTTTTGCATGACCAAAATACATTAGTTTGACTAAGCCCCCTGGGCAAGTTATTTAACGACTGGTTGGTTAACAGTCTTTCATAAAGATGCAGAGTTTTTAAGAAGTAGTCTTGTGAATAGCTTCTTATGACTATGGAGAGGTAGGTGTTGAGGTATTAGTGTGTTTAGGTATTTTCCTTTTAGGTATTTTGTAGGTATTAAGGTATAGTTATTTATGGTAGTACTGAGTATTCATTCTATTTTTGTTGATTTGTAAGTCACTTTTAAGGGAGATATTGTTCTACAGCTGACATGTTTCTTTTTCTCATTAACCAATAATGGAAAAAAATAATAATGTATTTTTAGAAACCTTTGGAAATTTATTAACAATCTGACATTTACAAAGCATTCAGATGCTCAATTAGTCTTCAGGTATCTCCTCATATGTTCTGTGTGGTTTAAGTCTGAGCTGTGATTTGGCTGCTCAAAAACAGTCAGAGACTAGTCCTGAAACCACTCCAGAGTTGTCTTGCCTGCTGCTGGTCATTGGCATACTGAAAGGTGAACTGTTGCCCCAGTCTCAGGCTGTGTGCACTCTAGAGAAGATTTTCTTCAAGGACCTCTCTGTATTTGGCTGCATTCATCCTTCCCTCTTCTAAATAGTCAGTGTCTTTGGATTTAATGTTGTGTAAGGAACAGTTTTATTTTCAAACAATGTATGTTCAGTTTCTTCAGTTTCTGGGAGACAGTCATCACTGAAACCTGGAGAACTGCATGTTAAGAGTTATTCCTATTCTTGTACAGGTAGCCTTTTTTGTTGAGGCTACCAGATTGAAATGTAAAATATGATACGGTGTCATTTCAGGTGACAGTTCATCGTGTCGTCAATATAGTCGATAAGAGGAGCCCTTCGCCTCGGGTGGGGTTGGATTATGACAGAGGTTTTCATAATGACCAGTGGTATGGTGGTCCACGAAATTACCATGATGCACGAGAATTCTATGTTGACGGAAATTACCCACCCGATAATTGTCGATACTTTGATGAAAACCCAGACTTAGGCAACTTTCACAGAAGTTCCTCACCCTCACAAAATGTAAGACTAAAGCATATGGTTTATAAACTAAAATTTGTTTTGTGTTACAAGGTTGAAAGCAAGTGTAAAAAAAAAAGGTTAATGTATTTGAATAGTCAGATTTGTATTTTTAGCTGATCAAATAGAAACAAGAAATAGTATAGCAATGTATATGACTCCAGCCTAAGTTTATCAGAATGGTAAGAACAGAATAGCAAATTGTAATAGGTTCATAAAAGCTTTTTTGTACTCTTTAAGTGTCATCAACAGTAAACCACATTTGCAGCATTTTCCATTAAGGCTGTTGTTATTGTACGTTTTGTTTTCAGGACAGCCTGAGTTATGGCAGAGAAGATTTGAGGCATCACTTAAACCAAAGGTAATATTTTTGTTTGTGACATCCTGATTGTCTGAATTGGTTGTGTAATGCACGGATTAGCCTCTAGGTGGTGGCAAAGTTCTGTGTTTTGAAAAGTGAGCAGCACTTGGAGTTACTGATTGCCATGGCATGTGGCATTATTTGCAGCATTTAATGTCATTGAGGGGAAAAAATGGGTTAACCAAGTTCATGCATGTAAAATCATTTTAAATTTATTTTTAAACTTTTAAATAATTTAAGCCTGCATTCCATGTCATAGACTAAAGAATATGACATCTCTCCTTACAAATTGTTGCTTTGGCAGATGTGCCGAGTAGCATATCTTGTCTTTTTTTAAATCCTTTTTGTATTAAACTATTAGGTATATGCATAAGATATTTTCAGGTTTATAATTTTACAACAATTATAAAAATCATGTGTCTGAAGATGTGCTTAATATTCAAAAGCATTTGACCTTAAGTGAACTTTACTCTGCCACTGACGTACACTTAACTGACATAGAGTGACACCTTTTCAAGCTCAACTTAAATCACTTTTCAGCCTAACAAAGGTTATGCTCCCCTGTGTCCAGAGGCAGCTGATTGCCAAAAACAATGCAGGATTGTCTGTCCATAGGGCTCTTTTTTGCACAAGGTGCTACAGTGGCCTTGTTGACAAGAGGCCAAATATAAATTGACTCCTTTAACCCTGGCACAAGACAGAAACTCCAGGCACGCAGCTCTGTGAGGTCACAAGGAACTTAACATGGGGTTGCTTTGGTGATATGTGCATAGACTTTTGTAAATGATTTTATACAGTTCTTTTATAATCCATCCAGTTAATTGTAATTTTTTAAACAAATAAAGTTGTTTCCACAGTCATCAGATGCAAATATTAGGTTGTTTTATCTTATGGGACCTGTGGATATTTTTAGCCGTATTTGATTTATTTATTTATTGCATAATAAAGGTCATAAGGTCTTTTTATTAGTCTGTCAGTATCAAGAAAATACTTAAGGTATATCTGTGCCTCAGCAATAAGGCATGTCCAATTTACATTTGTGTAACATCTGGGTGAACGTCTGACTGATAAAAGCTTGATTTATCCTCTGTAGAGTGTTTTCTTTTCCTAAATAAAGTACACAGCGTTTTTGTATCGGAGTCTTTTGATGTTAGTTTGGTAATGCATGAATGGCAGCTCTGTGTTTGGCAAATGGTAGGATGAGTCTTGGCTACTTCAAACAGACCGTGGGTCGTAAAGGTTTGAGGGCTTGTTAGACCTGCTCTTTGTTTGAGATGTGGCTTGAGTTCAGGCAGAGGCCATGACAACCAGGTGCCTTTGGGTCATTTATACCTCTGGACCTTAAGGTTGTTTTTCCAGACGCAAGCTTTGAGTCTGGAAAAATCAGAAAATTGAGAAGCAGTGAACCGCGAAGTGTCACTGCTTGTGCTCTCAAAACTTAGATAAATGTTCAGAATTTGGTAATTACATTACATGGTTGAATACCAGATTTGGTGACAGTGCATTTTAATGTCAGCAGTGCATTTAGCTTAATAATGGTTCTGCCTACAGTTGAAGACAGACCATCATTAAAGAAGACCAAAATTGGTCCAACAGTCAGCCAAAGTGGAAGATTTCCTCAATTCCACAAAATGATCAGTGTGTCACAGGACCCCACAATCTGGATTTAAGTCTTTATGGTTTTGCCTTTTATTTATTCTGTTTCCATTACCCTTCTGAAGAGGTTCACTGACAAACACCCAATGATTTGTCTTTTAAACCATATTGAAAAATTTTAATTTGGATCCCAAATACTTGATTTATTTTGTTTGGACCTTTTGTTTACTGAAGTGTTGCCATGTTGCATATCAACTTTGCTGGTGATTGAGTTGCCTCTGCTTTTTTGTTTGTTTGTTTGTTTGTTTTTCAGGAAAAATGTCAGACCTGGTCCCTATTTCCGCAACAGAGGTCGAGAGTTCGGCCCTCATCGAAGGTCAGACAGAAACAGTGTCTTCACATCCATTTGTTGTTATACTGTGTAGTGGAAAAACCCCCAAAAAACAATCTGTAAGCCCATGGGTGGTGGACTGAAATAGTTTGGTTTGTAATTAATAGGTGAGCTCCTTGTAAGATTGATTAAAATTAGTCTATAAAGAGCATTAACCAGATGTGTTTGTGATGATTGACTTTCAAGCACAAGCTATATCCTTGTATTGACTGAAATTAGTGTCTGGTATGTGAGCATTTCATAAGAGGACACGTTGGGTTTATCAGCAACCTGTCGCCAGTTTTTTCTGTTAATCTCATTGGCTAGAAAGTTTGAAAAGGCTTGAAAATAGAACTTATTATTCAAGATACACTTCTTGAAAGGATTAATGCCAGTGGTCTCTGCAAGTATGCAATAATGGCATTTTAACAAAGTGATGTGCTCCTGCCTCAGGCTATGTTCAGATACTGTACAAATTGATAAATTCTTTTATATACACTAAAGCACTTTTATCATATCACAGTTGTTTTTATCACCATTATTCTAGACACTAACTGGCTGTGCAGGGCCTGTTTTTGAACTTAGTTTTTTGGGAGGATTCAGTGGAGTCCTGAACCCTTCATGATTGTTGTTTTTGTAGAGAAGACCGTGATGACTACAAGATCTCTACCCCCATCGTCATCAAGCGGGACCGCTCTCCTGGAAGGAGGGAAGTCCAGCCAACTGGGCACTCTGGGTCAAACTCCAGCAGCAGAAGCTTCTCTCCTGACAGGGACAAAGGCTACTCCTACCAGCAGTCTCTGCAGAGGCGTAAGTATAAAGTGCCTCTGTGGATCATGAACAGCCCGAGTTTACAGATTTGAAAAAGCCTCAGTTACAACCCCACATTGTGATCAGCTGAAAGTACTTCTGAATAAGCTGACGCTGACTAGATGAGCAGGAAAAGTTGCAGCAGTATGTTATTAATCACTCATGCTACTGTTGGGTTTAAAGCTTCCTCATAAAGCATGTCTTTGTCATACATGTGTCCACACCTACTCATGAATATCAGTAATGAAACTGTTCTGTCATAGCAGTAATATGCTTCGAGGGTTTTCACTTGCATGTAATATATAATGCATGCTGTACTCTCAATCGTACCAGTGCCAGTATTGATCAGTACATGCACATGTAGCACCACCTAAAATTCATAAGGCAGATATTATTAGGCTGCTCCCCATTGGACTAATAATGTGTTCTACCTTATTTATTTTAACAATAATTACATTATGTTAAGTTGATGTTTCTTTTTAAATTTCAGGGCCAACTGCAGAGAGGCAGTGAAAAGGTCAAACTTGTCTCCATTTTCAATTTTGTTAGGCACTGTCCTGCTTTGTCTACCATTTTTGCTTATAAATACAATATGTTGCACAGAAGTAGCAGTAATTGATCCGGCTGTGTTCTTTTAAAGTGACCAGGGAAAGAACTGTGGAGAGCAATTTCTCCAGTGCTTTGGTTTCTAAAATGTATAAACCTTGTGTCACAAGCTTAGCTCTGTGTCCTACCGACCTTTGAAGATGCAATAAAACAGTGAGAAAACAGTTGTACCTACAACCTCCAATCCCATCTGGGATGCAAATTAGAGCAGCACAAAATGGGGTTTTGGTGTTAGGGTATGTACAAACATATAGCCCACGCTGACTGTTAAGTGAATACCATTGTATAGGCTGCTACCTGCAAAGCTTTTTCAGATAAATTGGTGTTAGGGAAGTACTGACCAACACTAGGGCCTTGGTAGTAACTTGTTAATCCATGTGTACACGCAGCACATCAATAATCAGATGTCTCTGCTACCACCAATCTTATTTTGGAACCATGGTTTTCATGGAGACAGAATGGAGCTTTCTTAAACAGCGGGGAAGTGTCTGAATTTAATGTAGCTAAATGTTCTGCAGTGGTTATTTTAATTTGTAATCTTTTCAGTCAAACTGTGGGTAGGATTAGTTTGAATCAAGGTTCTCTGATCCCCTACCCCAATTACAGAGAGGTGTGCAGAGGTGAGAACTATCCTGCACACAACTCTAGTGTGCACATAAGAAGTCGACACTAAGGGCGTCTTCAAGAAGATGCCGTATGAATCCGTACTATTTGAATTATTCCATCGAGGTCCTCTGTGTGGTGACTCGGAGCAGCTATATGCACTTTTGCCTTTAGACACACGACATGTCACATTAAATAGTTTGGTTTAAGCAAACCTTTGCCTGACAGTGTGTTTGTGTGTATCTTAGTTCCACTGAGGGACTCAAATTATGATTGAGGTTTTAACCTTGGCTCACTCCAATAACTATGGAGGATTTATTCAGTAAAAGCAAACAACTTGATCATATTTGTTTTGTTGTAGACACACTGGAGCCAGTAGAGGACAATATTTCAATTTAGACACAGATGAACTCAACCATTATTGTGTGGGAGGCTCCAACAAGGGAGTATTAAGAGAAACTGATTTATACTTTTCAGTTGCCTCATTGGGCATTGGCTTCACGTTTGTTCAAAAGATGTATATTATTTTTTTATGTCTTGCAGTAGAAAGTAATGTACTTGTTCCCTGCAGTATTTTTTAAATATTATTTTATGGTATTTTGCCGTTTTAGATAGCACACTGGAGAGAGATGAGGAATGTGTGGACAGCAGTGAGTAAAATTCCCCATCCAGATCTGAAATGGGGATGTTGATGTTCATCTGTGTCTCAGTGATGTCCCACCCAGCCACCACGATATTTCCCTAGGGTTTATTTTAAAACTTTGCAAAATAACATTAAAGAATCATGTGGCCGCCTTCACAATGAGCTTCTTTTTATAGTTGTCTCTCCTTTGGTAGAACTTTCTATTCACCATAGTTATCTTAGGACTATTATCTGCTTGTGTGCACACTGTCTTTTAATTTGTCATGATGTTTTTCCCGTAGAGAAGTCCAATGTACTGACGAGCCATGGCTCCAGCAGCTCTGCGGAGGGCTCTGCGGAGCCTCACAGCTCAGGGTCTTCAGAGGTAAAATCAGCATTTGGGGACACTTTCAACTAGTATTGCTCATATAACATGGCACAATGAGTAAAATAAAGTGAAATACAGCAACATCTATTGCACTACTTGTTATTGCACCCAATGTAATAGCTGGAAAAAGATAGCAGTTAATGCAAGCTGTGCAGGAGTATTACAGAATATCACTTGCTTTAATAGCTTTGACATGGACCTTAACTGAGAATACATCACTTGGAACAGGATATTAATGACTACCGTACATGCTAATTTAAAATAACAAGGACATGTGGCCATCACACCTCCACAGTTTTATATTATGGTAATGATTGTTCTTACATATTGAAGTTTCTTTAAATTCATAAAAGTCTTTACAACTGGTTTATTATACAATGATAATGTAACTTTAGCATGTCAAAGTAAAATATACAGTGCATCATGTGTATTGTACTCTGTAGTCAATGTGCCACAAACAGGCAAAACCACAACTATGTAGCTGTAAAGAAAATAATTTAGAAAAAATGTTTTTGAGTTATGGACATTTGGTATGTTTTCTTTAACTGCACATGTATCCTACAGTTTCATAGCTATTACCTGTAAAGATCCTTTAACAGGCAAGATGTACTGTATGTGGTGCCTCATTCCTGTTTGCCAGTGACATGTGGCATGCATAAGGAGATGTAAAAAAAAACAAAAAAAACAAGAACTTTACACTCTTAAGAGAGCAGAGTTGTCTCTATTTAAAACACTTTGAAATCAGAGCCAGTTTTCAAACCTGCTCCCCTCCACTCTAACCCTTAACCTGTGACCTGCCAGGACAAAACTTCTGCATCTGTAGCAGAGCTGGAGGAGGTGGCGGCTACCAGCATGGAGCCAAAGCCAGTACCAGAGGTGGACTTCAATGCTCGTCGGTTGGAGGCCATTAAGGCGAAAGCTCTGGACATCGAGAAGGTAGCAAGATTTGCTCTATGAAATGACCTGACTTTGGTGAATTCTTATGACAATCTGTTGCTTTTGGCAACTCTTTAGAAGAGTTGAACTTTTCCCCATTAGTGTCACTGAGCTGCTAAAAGCTTTCTTTTAACCAAGTACGAGCTGCTACTGAGTTGCCAGTGTGGTGAGGTCGTTTTCTAATTTCTTTTTCAAACTTTTAGATTCACTTGATTTTCTTCATAATAACAAACAAGAGAAGCATCAAGGGAAGCTTTTGGCCTGCCTTCATTTATTTTAGCTTTTATTTCTTGCTCAGCCTTCCCCCCCCCCAGCATGAGGCTGACCCATGACCAATGCTTTTACACCAAACATGACAGCCCTTAAAATCCAGAGTCAGGCTGGCTGCACAGTCGATGTAAAAGGTATATAAATGTGCCTCGGATTGTCACACATAATATTTATGAAACATTATCTTTGAGAAACATTTTTTGGTGTAGTGAAGGAGCATGTGACAGCAGAAAAGTCCTTAGCAACTCAGGTAGTGAAGACTCTTGTGGCCTTCTATTTGCAGTTGAACCTATTTCCCTCCCAGTCATTGCTCTCCACTACAGTACCACTTATCTGTTCCCGTTAAAGCAGGGCAGGAATTGCCCTGCAGGATGCAGACGGCCCACCCACTGCGTGGTATGTCTCTTGGCAGTTGCTTTTACAAAAGTGGTGAGAGGCAGAAACCTCTACTGTGTCTTTACTGTAACATCTGCCCTGGGCTCAGGTAAACACACATTGATCCTTTGCGATTGTAGTTTGCCAAAATGAGCAGATCAGGTAGTGGGAAGAGCTGAACTCCAGACTACTAACTAGTGTGAGGGAACCTCTCCAGTCCACAGCAGTTAGTGTCGCATACCCCAAAAATTTAACTATGCCATCTTTTTTTTTTTCCTGATTGAGTTATTGTTCAGCAAATTTAATACTGTGTATATAACCCTCTTAGCATGTGACCGGTTCAGTCAGAAATGGATTTGTCACGCTAGCATAACTCACTGTTTTTTGGCTGGTTTCTTGGCAACTAGCATGTCATTGTTTTGTAAACAGTCATCACCAAACTTCATTCTCTTTTTGCTAATATAACTGGCCAGTGAGGCCATTTATCAATCTTGGGAGTGACCATAGAACAAATCAGGACATGTCAAATAACAATAACAACAGACCTATCCATTTCAAATGTAGCAAAGTACCTGTTAGAGATTTTCAGAGATGTCCATTCATCACCTCAATCGGTGCAAATGAAACGTATCCATTTCAACTATTAGCCCTTGCATTAAGAGGCCCGGTTTGTAGCTTCAGTGATTAAAATGGCTCCTTTAATATCCCCTAATGTGTACCAGCCCTCAAGTCATTAGCCTACTTCCCTTATTATGCAGGACCCCTGCCTGCATCAGTGCTCATTTGAACAGAGCCTCACTAAATGTCCATGTGAGTGCCTTATGTATAATCTCACTTGAATCCTTAACTTCCCAACCCCCACCCATATCCAAGCACAGGCTCCTGTTGATATGCTCACAATTTTGACCTCCACAAACATCCGATTTGGACAGAAGCCTACTTTTTAACGGACCCTAATGTGGCTGTTTCTCTGGGGTCTCCAGCCCAGCCTGTGTGGCCCCTTTAGTATCAGTCCTAAACATCAGCTTGTGGCTGCCACTCAAGGGGGGCAACCTAGGCAGAACCTCCCTGCAGTCTTTTCACACAACATAAAGAGCAGGTCAGAAGCACCCTTCCTATTTGATGCCAACCTTACATGAGAGCAGTTTTTACAAAAATAGTAGGCTGTTGGAAATCACTCTGCGATTGTCAAGCAGTGTAATGAATATGGTGTGATGCTCTTTATCGCAAACAAATTGATATATGTAGTCATGTGCATGATAGCTCAGTCGTCTAAGCTCCAGTACCATCAGGGGGGGCATCTCTTAATCTGAGTGCATAGTTTATTATGAGGCTACTCTTTGTCAACCCTTTCCTCGTCCTATTTTTGAAGGGTTCAAGTGTTTAAAACAGTGTATATGGGACATAATGAAATGAAAATATAATCACTCTCAATAAAGACCGTAGCTGGAGAAAAGCTTAGGAAGGTTTTGTTTTGAAAGTTGGCATGTATAATCAGCCCTTAAGTGAATAAAGAGGCACTGGTTTGTGGAGCATACACCACATGTTTGTGTCGCATTTACCCCATGTTTCCTCTTACATCTTTAAACATGGAACCAATTTCTTCTCCTTCCAAATAGTGCTGTAGGGATGACTTTTTTTTTTTTTATGCCAACCTAGAAGTTACCATCACTCTGGTTTCTTCGACAAAAACTCAGTGGAATTTCTCCATAGGCTTTTGGATTTTTGCGGAAAATAAGCTCAGTGTCGAACCAAAGATGATGACGCATCTTGTTCAGCAAGATAATCTTCACAAGTAAACACCACTTTTGTGATTTTTGAAGTAAAAAGCTGTTGTTGGTCTAAACGAACTACACCACGGTCCCTTCAACGTCACTACCACGGCTTCCAACTTGTAATTTGATTACCACTTACCTCTTCTTCAAAATGCTTTCCTTTTAGCGTGACCTGATGTAGCTCGTGATGGTGGATGGGTCAGTTAGAATAGGTTTTAAATGCTCTAGTTTAAACATAACCAGGATGTAAAGACTGACAAGTCTCCGTGTTTAGCATGATGACGTTTAAAATCTCCCACAACCTCTGTGGTGTCATTAAACCACATTTTTTTAAAAACACGTAAAAACTTTAAAAATCACAAGTGGGGTATTTACTGACCTGTGCCATAGAACAAAATGTGGAAATGTCTTGACTTTGTGTTAATCAAAGACCTTGTTTCAGGGGTATAAACAAAACCCATTCAAAAAACCCACTGACCTCGGAATGAGGGAAGTGGAGCCAGAAGTTCCAGGTTTTAGGATTGACTACTATGGCACTCTGGAAGGAGAAATCTGCATTTAAGAGGTACAAGTGTAGAAATTCACCTGTAATAAGTTATAAAATGGAACTGATTCAGTACAGCCTAAGAAGAGACGGCTCATACTGTTCTCACACAGAGAAGGAAAAATGTGTTACTCAATGAAGTTGACCCTGAGCTTAGCTGACCACATGTGTCATGAGTCTCTCACTTCTTTGTGGCCAGTGGTGAGGACTGTCATTATGTGGGACCATGAATTCTCTTGTGACATGATCTGCAGACATTAAAGCATCAGCCAGGGTTCAGACATCTCCCACAGTCTGGGATATTTTTTATCTGGGTTTTCTTGACTTGCTTTGTCTATAGGTGTGTACAGTGCAAGTTATGATACATCAATAATAACCTAAATAGTGATATTCATAGTCATAATGGTTAGGTTAAATTACCTTGCCATAACATTTTCTCTTCTTGGCAACTAGCATTTCTGCTAGTTTGTACTCTGCTTGTTCAACAGCTATTTGTTAAACCACTCATACAATCTCCCTTACCACCTGATTGTTGCACTGTGGAGTGATCCCTCATGTTGCATGTTCATGAGCGTCTGTCTAGGTGGTTTTTTCAATCCAGCTGGCCCAGACAAATCTGACTTCAGGTGATGCAACAGTCAGCCTTCATCGCTGCTGGTTCTTTCACATCGGCTTGGTGTGTCTCTGCCCTGAGAGAGAGAGTGAGAGAGAGAGACCAACAGTGAAACATACAGTAGAAAAGCAAAGTAGGACTGTCCGTGTCAACCCATGAAATTATATCCGGTCACGGTTAAGGGACGCGTGGGGTGTACCGCTCATTAGGTTCTGGCAGTGGAAATGCAGCTATCGTTAAATTGTGCACTGCAGATTTTTTTGTCCCCAACATGTAGGCTCAGTTTTCTCTCTCTGTCTTTTGCTTTTTAAACATGGAGCCTTTCTTTTGCTTAAAACAGTTGACTGACTTGTTTCCATTCTTATTGTTCTAAACTGAATGTCAATTTACTTTTGTTTTTTGGTCTTTTCTGAGTGTACAAAGCTACGCTCAGCCGAGCTCTCTCCCAGTCATCTAAATATTGACTGTGGCAGATTTCTTCCTTCCCTCATAATATTTTAGTCTTACAATCCCACACTGGATTTTTTTTTTTTCACTGGAGTCATATACTTCAGTGGATCTAATTTATTACCATATTTTAGATAGTTATGCTCAAAATCTTAAACAAATTCAAATCATGTACAGTTATGTGATAGTGTGACAAAAACACTTGTGGTCACTACATTAAAAATAGCAGGGTATTTGAAGTCACTGCGATTCTTCAGTACTGTAAAAAATGTGGATCATCACATTATTACAGTACTGATGATGGATACATGATCGCGAGTTAGACAAAATATACATTATGTGATGTGTATTTAGGCAAAGAAATGGCAGTTGTGGTTTTAAATTGACCCATAACTGACAGCACCCTGGAGTATAGCCCTTTAACCACATTTTGCTCAAGAGTGGACCTTGATTTAAGTTGACAGGCAGCGGTTTTCTCATCAGAATTACCAAAGATGATGGGCTATGTTTTATTGCATTTAACAAACGGTTAATGTAGATGAGGTAATGTCAAGAAATGTTTGTTCTAATCTCCACAAACACATTCCTAAAATGACTATGCAGCTAAACATGATGTAGAGAGACGGTACCTACAAGGAAGACTGGACACCTTCAAAGCAGTAGTAATGATAATGGAATATTAATATATATTTTTTGCCAATACATGTATGAAATCAAAGTCGTTGTTTTATTCCACAGAAAAGCATTCAGCCCCAGTTGCTCTAATTTCAGGTGAGAGTTGAGTTTCCTTTAACTCAACCCTGGAGCACCCCTTTGTCCCAGAGCGCTCCTTACTAGGTTAGTGTAGCCCTAAACCTCTGAACGGCATCCATACAGAGGCCCACATTCAGCTTTGTTTCACCAGGTGATAAAGATGTCGTTAGCTTGCACCTGGAACCATAATGAAAAACTTCACTGCCAACCCAAATTGGCTATTAAATCTGAACAGGATGTGAGAGCTTGTTATAAAGTGGTGTGAGAGCATGCCCCAGCACCACTAACATACTCTGACACCTCTTGTCTCTTTTGTTATAAGCAGACATATGCTTCAATAGACTTGCATACACACGTTTACCAGAACTGGGTTCATTAAGTTCACAGTTAAGCATCAATAGAAGAGTTATCTGCAGCGCTCAGAGCAGTTACATAGAGGTGCTCGGTTGTTTGTCAGGTCTGTTGAAATTTTTTTGCTACATGGGCTGTTAAATAATATTCATAAATTATAAACTTATGGATTTCCTTTAATACACTAACTGTTCATGCATGTCACTGTTTAATGTGCATACATTACAAACAAATTCAGTTATGAAGTTTGAATTGCAAACAAAATGCACTGTATTTATGTGTGTGCTGCATGTGTGTAAATTTGTAATGCAACCTGCTAAATTAGATCTTGCAGTGATAGACTTAATTTGATTGCCATGTCTGTACTGTAATTGGGTTAAGATGAGGAATGCAATAACTGGGCTTTGGTTTTTTTTTTTTTTTATGTACTGTATACTTTATTGTATGAATATTGACCATTCTGATGTGATCGTTTTATGTGCAGCATTACAGGCAGGACTGTGAGACATTTCGCACAGTGGTGAAGATGTTGGTGGCCAAGGAGCCCAGTTTGGAGAATTTGCTGCAGGCCCCACTGGATGAAAATCTGTCGGAGCTCAAACATCACTGCCTAGATGCCCTTAGGCACTTTGTGAAGGAGCTGGACGAGGTATTAGAGCAGCCGGACACCTCAGTGAAAGGCACACATCACAAAACACTTGAGTGATCATATGGAGACTTGAAAGCTTATTTTTGAAATAAAAAGAAAATGAAAATTTGCCATATGGAATGAAGAGTTTTACCATTGTTTCATATCTTGTATTTTAACTATTCTTTAACCAGACAGTAGTAACTTAAAAAAAAAGTAGATGATTAACAAAAGCCAGCAAATCTGGCAGTGACATTTTCCCACTTGCTCAAACATAAATAGGATTTTAGACAAAATGCTATTCTTAATAATAGCTAAAATGGTGATATTGTATAGTATTATGAGTAAGTGATGTGTTTACCATGAAATACGCTCCGTAAAAACTCGTATTATATTCAGGTGAGTATAGATGCAAGTTAAAGGTTTGACCACTCCAATAACTAGAGCCTTGGTCTTCTTTTCCAGTGCTACTGACAATAGTATTAGCAGAAAGAATGGTTAAGTCTAGTAATGAAACCTTCTTATGGCAACTTTTTACCAGTCTTTATTAATGTAGCGTGTTTTGCTTGCAAAATCTATTTCTGTTGAGGCTGCGAGTGCAGCTAATACAAACTAAGACAAGTATTCTCAAAAGTGTTAAATTTCGCTGTATATGGTATTTTTCTGTGCAGCACTATCCCGTGCTCCTATCAGATTGATGTTTTTTTTTTTTGTTTTTTTTTTGTTAAACTTTTCTAAATAAAATTGTTTGTGACATCTTCTCCTGTTTTTATATCCCTAGAATACTTGCAAGAAAACACAAATTATGCTATATAGATATTTTATTACATTTATCATCTATCTTGGCCTTTATATTCCTGTTTGTACATTTGTACAGATTACAATGATTTGCTTAAAATGCATTGGCCCATAAATACATGCAGTGTTTCTCTTATGTTAGCAGTGCACAAGCCTGGAAGAACACACATTTGGGTCAGTCTGTCATTAAATTTCACCCCTCATGGTAAAAGACTTTGTACCATTTGGCACCAGTTCAATGTTAATGTCATTTTGGTACAAAGCATGACATTAACTCAAGGGTATAAAAATAGCATTTAAAAAAAAAAAAACATTCTACAATATATACATTGTCTGCAGTGTTAAATAAACAGATGGTGTTTTATAAATACGCATTACTCTGAAATACTTTTGTTACGTTACTGGCAGTTTGTACTGCTACAGAAGCAAATCGGAGAAGAATCAGAGTAAAGACAAACATCTTGGAAAATTGAGTGCTGTGAAGCATTTCATAGCAAGCAGCTATTGCATTTTAAACAGTGGACAAGAGGCAGAGGTGAGTTACAGCGCAATAACCAAAGCTGAAGGTAAGAGAGTAAGTCTATGAAATTATACAGTTTTTCCCCTTGTGCCCTTTCTTCTTTTTTGACTTGGTCCACTGGCCATAAGGAAGAGAAGACATGCCTGCCACAGGGCTAGGCAAGTCCTCAGTGTAGAAGTGTCTGTGTGTCCTGGGCTGAGGGATGGGCTGACCCAGGAAAAAGCCCTCTTCCTCAGAATCAGAAGAGGAAGAAGAGCATGTGGAGCACGAGTCATCATCATCCCCATACAACCCCAAGAACCTCCCCATGGCTGGGCCCTGTAGTCCGTAGTCTGACATAGCTGCAGGACTGGATTGACCCTGGAAGGCTTGGTGCCCCTTGGGGCCAAGAGCGTTCCCTCTATGGTCCACCCTGTAGCACATTTTAGCCCTATGCTTGGGCAGAACGTTAAGAGCATTGTCAGAGCGAGAGATGCGACTGCGACGCCTCCTGCGGTGGTGGTGTTGGTGACCAGAGTGAAGTTCCTGGCCCTGCTCCTCAAAGTGGTACACTCTCCGGCGAGTGCGTTCGCTCATGGGGGCCTGGCGCACTGGGAGATCACCGTAATGGCTGTTGTCCACCACATCATCAGAGAATTTGACTTGCTGAGGCCTAGACTGCGAACGTGTCCTCCTAAGGGCAGGGACATGAGGTTTGGATCTGTCCTCTGGCAGAGCCACCTCCTCCTCATCTGGAACATTCTCCTCCACCTCATCTTGCACAGATACAAGGCTCTTCAGAGAATTTGCACTTCTGTGTAACATAGAGGAGTTGAGGGTTCCCATGTTGCTTGTTTTCTCACAGTCTTCTGTTTCCAGTTCATGGAAGCCTTGCAGGGAATACATCAACGTTCTGTCTTTACTATCACCATCGACTGAAGCCCCTGGAGAGGAGAAAGAAAATGTATATAATGTTTACATGTGGACTCAAGATACTGTTTAAAAGAAAAAAGCAGCCACGGGAAACACTTTAGATATTGCTTTCTTAGAACTGGTGTATTATGTGACAGCTACTCACCAGTAATATTTGAGAGAGCAAGTGAGTCCATAGAGTCTCTGACACTCTGATCTGTTTTCTTGAACTCATCTGTGATACATTCCAGAGAATCATTGTACCACTGTGGCTCTTCTCCCTGGAAACCTCCTCCAGACCCATGCTCCAGCTCCAACTCCTGGATCTTTCTACTGCTTGCTGGTCCTGGGTGGCTACCATAGGCAGAGTCCCCTAGACCATCCTGTGACTGGGCCCAGTACATGTCAGCCTGGTATTTCTTACAGACCAGGCTTCCCCTTCCTCCTCCTCCACTACCATTACCAGGTTTGGAGGACTCCTGTTTTGACTTGGCATCCTTTTCAGTGATCAAAAAATCTGTCAGTCTAGAGTCACTGGCTTGCTGGAAGACCCCATGCTCCCCAAACTTTAATAGCAACTGAGTCATATAGTCCTCATGCTCAGCCCACTCCTCTTCCTGGTCCTCAGGTGCCTCTGTTTCATCACCACGTCCCCAACAAAAATGCTCATCAGATAAGTTCATGTGGGCCACCTTGTCAGTCAGGGTGTTGTCAGTGTTTCCACTAAAGCCAGGTAACTTATAGTTGACAGAGGGTGAGAAGAGAAGCGACTGTCGGCATTGGTCAGCTGAGCGACTGCTTTTGCCCATGCGCACACTGCGACGAGATTCACGTGAGCGTGCTGACTGAAAGGCAGAATCGGAGGAGTCTGAGGCATGTACATCTTCCCCAAGACTGCAGGCCTTGGAGCAGTAGATACGACCCTGATGTGGCATGAAAGGGCAACCCAGTAGAGAGCGCTTGCACTGGGCACAGCTGAAACAGGTCTCGGTGGCATGCCAGTGGAGCCCATCATAGGTCATCTGAGCATGATCAACACCTGGGAGAGGGAAAATGTTGGGATGTTAGCAACACTACTTTAAATTCTAGAGTAGTGATTCTCAAAGAGGGCTAAAAACATTTATTTCTACTGTCAGGCCTGGTATTTTAACATGGGAATCTATGGGGATTGACTCCTTTTGAATCGTGCCTCAAGTAGCCACTTGAGGACCTGCAGGTTTTGGCACTTACGCAATTGGCTTCATTTCTCAGTCTTGGATTTTGCCACCTTGGTGTGACATACCTTCATTTTCTCTATTGTTCTGTAACTGAGTTAAAGCTAGTGGGATTTAAGCTAACAGGGGAAGCTAGCATAATATAACTACGCCGTACAGACTGAATTATGCTTAACTCACCATTCTAAAGTTTGTAATGTCCTGTCTTTTTGAGTAAGGATTCAGCCAAGCACTTCACATGCATTCCAAGTAGAGAAACCAGCTAAATATAATAGCATCAGGTGCATTCAGGATATAGCTTACTCTACTCCAGGGGTGTCAAACTCAATCACGGGGCCAAAACTGAAAGCACACTTTAGGTTGCGGGCTGAACAGGATAAATATTTATTGAACAGACCAAAACTAAATGTTTTTTGAACATAAAGATGAATCGAAACAGACAGGATACAATATTATTCCAAAATAAATAAACTTAAACAACCGTATTTCTGCTAAGGCTTACATTTGCAAACACCTGCTTTTTGTCTGGACACAAGACGTCACACGCTTTCTTACAACGTCCTACATTTAAAATGTTAAGTAAAAGTACAATCATCATTATATACTTAAAGTATCAAACATAAAACTACTTTATGCAGAATGGGACATTTCACATTAATGTATATTGTATTATTGGATTATACAGAGTTCTTGTGTACATCACGTGCTTAATGTTGCGGCTGGTAAAGTTGGATCTAACCTAACTGGCCTTTATGTATAATTTGAAGTACTGCTGGGTTGTAAGTCTTTCACTGGGGGTGAATAAATTCTTATACTGTATTTTGTTTTATCTGATTCTGAAAATTAAAAGTTACTAAATGTAGTGCAGTACAAAAAACTACAATACAGTATTTGCCTCTAAAATGTAGTGAAGTGAAGTCAGTATGATGTAGTAGATAATGAAAACACTCAATTACCTCAAAATTGTACTTAAGTACAATACTTGATCTAATGTGGTGATTTTTACAATGCAGGCTTTTAATTGCTTATAAGAGATTCCAACTTGACTTAAAGGGGATGTTAACCCAAAAAGGTTAACCACTGGTCTAGAGAATCATCACAGGCATTTCATTTTAATTCTAGCAAATAATCATCTTACCAATGTGTTCTCCACAGGCCTCACAGTACTCTGCATAGAGGGACTCAAAGCAGCCGCAGCAATATGGTTTTCCATCCTTCATAATATAGCGCTGGCCTCCAAGAATTGTCTCACATTCAAAACAGGAGAAGTGTTTCATGTGCCAGTGGCGACCTTCTGCTTCTGTGCACTCATCAGCAAAGATAATCTGTGGACAAACATGTACACTGGATGAGACAAAACAGCCACCTTTTGTCTTCCTGGCTGTCATCTGTCTTGATATTCATGTTCAGTTTATTCAAGTTAATGGAGAAATTTAAAAAAAAGTTAGTGTTCTCCCAGAGGAATTTTGAAAGGCCATAAACATCAGGCTGTGGATGTTTTTCCTCTAGCAGGTAGATTTCTCTCAGTATTTCAGACTTGTGGTTTTACCTCGTCACAGGCAGAGCAGCGTGGTTTGAGCAGCTCAGCATGGTGTCTTCCACAGTGGATCTTTCCATCATGGTAGAAGTAGATCAAATCCACCAGCAGTTCACTACATGTGGAGCAAGCGAAACATGCGGGATGCCAGCACAGCCCAGGGCCTGCCCTTGAGGCGAACACTGCCATTTCTCCACCATTGATGTTTTCACCACACTGCAATATGCAAACATGATCACATGGTAGAACATCCTGAAATGACCCTGGAATTGCACATTAGCTGTAGTACTAGAATATTCTATGACAAGGTTTTGTGCATCCTGCATAGATAATTACATTTACAACACAATCTATCATATAGCCACATGGACAGATTCGATTTCAAGCCCAAATTTGATCCTGATGTAATACAGCCCATAAAAACTAGAACATCATATGGCTTCCAGGTCCATTTGCTCTGTGTAGTTAAAAAAAAAGAAAACAATCTTGGAGAAAATACGGGTGTCTTCTTGTGAAGAGCTGCATCAGTGGGTCTCTGTTTTGACAAGGTTTATAAGCACCCTCTGGCTGCTCAATGATCATTGTAAATACCAAGGAAAATACAGCACTGAGCTGCTCCAAACCACTCACCAGACTTTTTAGTATGCAGGACTGCAAATCTAGTTTGTGTTTTGGGATCTCTTAAATGGCACGGCTGACACTGAGATCTTTATTTCAGCATTCACTCTGGCTTTTAGCTCAAACTGGATCCAGATTAGCCAAATACCCATGGAGAAGTTGCACAGAGGACATTATAGTTCAAGTAGGTTTTAATTAAATTTTGAAAGAACACCTTTATATGCTAGGTGCCATGCTTTATACCACAACCTCTCCCCAAGTCCTCTCCACATTTATAGCTGTAAATGATACATTCAAGACTGGGAACATACGTGCTCACAGATGCTGTTCAGAAGATTGCGAGGCAGCAGTTTTATTGTGCCCCTTCCCAGCGCTTCCTTCTTCCTCTGCATACTGAACATATGTAGCTCCTTTGTCTCCTCCTCACTGAGGGACTGGCAATAACGCACCTGGAAGAAAAGGCGAGAAGTTACAGGTTAGAGGGCCAATTTCACACTCACACAAGGGACAGTTTCTTCTGTTAAAGGTCTAGTCCTAAGTAAAACTTGCTTAGTGGGATATGAATTTTGTTCAAGTGGGTTTAGTGACCATTTCATAAAAGGTCTAGTTACAAAGATTGTTGGTCACTATTAAAGATTATACACTTAATTATGAGAGAGGGCAGAGTGCATACCAGAGCACTCTGAACTAAGGCAACTCTTGACCCCAGTTTGGCCTTCCTACACCCCCCTATATACTGTATCTCTACCCAAAGGCCCCGATTGAAAACCACATTTTTACTGCAGTCCTTTTTCATGTTTCCCAAAGCCTTAACAAGAGGGAAAGCAGACATATACACAAACAAGGCTGTGTTTAGAAATCAAGAGGACGGGCAACAAAGGACAAGAGACAGCCAAGTCGAGCTGTGGTGCCACCGCAGTGGTGGCATCACATAAAGCCTCTTTTAACCAGCAGCCCTCTCTCCTGCTGAGCAGTCCTCATAAAAACCACTGCTATGACAGGAATCCTGCTGGTGGGGATTTCTGGCAAACATCATAAAATCATTAAGTCAAGAGTCACATTGTCCCCTCACTATAAGATTGTTGAACAAAATACGCCTAGTCTGATGTCAATGTGAAAGCCAAGGGCTCATATTGGTGGGATGGCATGGAAATGGTAAGGCTGTTAGTGCCGTGGGTTTAGTGGGCAGCGACAGATATGTCTACTCAAAAAAAATGTGGAGTTTTGCAGGAGCTGTGGTTATAAAGGAAAGGACCTGCTTATACTTGGATTATACAGATGCACACAAAATATTCTCACTTCATTGTCATGCGGTGGCAGTTGGTAGAGGAGCTGCTTGATTCTGAACTTTTCTCCCGGACTGTTGACGTATGGGATCTTATCCTCAGGCAGACAGGAAAAATATAACTGAACCTGTGGAAATCATGGCGTGGAGTAAGGAGATTAGACACAGAAACACATTCTGACACCTAGTAAAACTGTAAAACATCAAGATCAGACACTAGGTTTTGGTGACATTGCTGAAAAACAATGTCACCAGACGTGGTTAATTAAACTGAAAGGTTCAAATGAAACCCACTACAAAGTATATATCTTCAAGTGTGGATCATCAAGGTAAGAACAAATGTTGTAGTTGAGACAGAAAACTACCATGAGGAATAATAAACATGGAGAATTATTAAAGCCTCAGCTACATCTCTTCACCCTTTTCTCTTCCAGTGGCATTTCTAATATTTCAGTTCAGTGCAGTGGTGGAAAGTTAAAAAAGTACATTTACTTAAGTACAATTTTGAGATATCTGTACTTGAGTATTTTTATTTTCTACCATTTCATACTTTGATTTTGCTACTTTTTATGGGCAAATATTGCACTTTTCACTCCACTACATTTATGTGGTAACTTTAGTTACTAGTTACCTTTAAGAATCAGATTGACAGAACAAAATACAGTAAAATCACATGTCTTTATTGATACCTGGTGGGAAGGTCACAAGCTACCCAGCAGTACTTTAAATTCTAATTATATATGGTAGTTAAAAATAGCTCCACCTTTACCAGCTGCAACATTAAAGGCAAAGTGCACAATAATCCAATAATATACATCAAAGTGAAATGTGCTATTCAGCATAATGAGTACATTTACTTGTGGTACTTTAAATATATTTTGTTGCTAATACTTTTCTACTTTTCCTTAAGTGAAATTCGAATGCAGGGCTTTTACATGTAACATAGTATTTTTAGGCTGTGGTAGTGCTACTTTTATTTAAGTAATCTGAACATTCTGACCATATCGCTGGTTTTTAATTCCCCAAGATGCTGAGATCTTCTTTTAAAATCCAAATCTTCTTGTATTGAATGGCAGCAATATATTTCTGTTACTATCTTGACACATTACTTTATGATGAGGCAGACTCTGGGACAGCCCTGTGTAAAATGTATGGAACACTGACTTTGTGGAATCAAAGGTTTTCTTGGGGTTTTCCTAACCCCCAGATCAACTTTATTTCAAAAGTCCAACAGGCTACAGTAATGGACTCTGATGGCCGTACTGGAGGAATCATTTTCTTCATAAATCTATACTAAAGTCAAAACAGGTCAACAGGTCAAATCAATTTGAAGGCTGTATTTTTCCAGTCATATGTCTCTATAGTGCAGGACAAAGCAGCCTGTTGTGATGGCACTTTGACCCTTGGGGCTGACCACTGAAAACTAAGCTTTATGAGTTAGGGGGTGTTACAGCTGGCCATATAAAGGGATGTACTTGTCCTGTGTGCTGGGGAGGTTCCTGCAGCTTTGGCCGTCTAGAAGTTTTTGGGGGGGGTGGCAATTTACCCTGACAATCAACCCCACGTTTGCCACCCATCATAAATTATGCACATTTTCATGCTGCTATTACCTCTCATCCAGCTCCTTAGGGGCAACAGTCAGCTATCACACAGGCTCTATGTGTTTCTTCACTGTAATAATGCCCCTTAATGCACGGCCCATTGAAGGCAATAGCTGCAGTAAAGGCATTACAGTTGAATTTCCTAAAGAAAAGGCCCTGCATGTTTGGGATTTAAGCTTCTCTGTTGTTGTGAATCCACCTATTCTAGCCTATCACCCCCTCATTGCTTCCATGTGTGCTTAACAAGAGAGAGATGGAGAGATGGAGCGGAGGATAGAAACCCAGCAAGAAAAGAGGGAAACGAGGAGTGAAGAGGAAAAACAACTGCTCTGGGAAAGTGCCACATCACACTGGCTGCCCTGCAGGCACATTTAACAGCCATGCCTGTATTTGTAGAGAAGGCTTGTTGAAAGATGACCCCCTGATTCCTGATCCTGCCAGCAGCAGTAGGCCTGACCTATCAAGTCCTCCTCCTAACAGACCTCTGATAATCACAAGCAGACTTTTTCATACCACAGTTTGTAAATAAAAGTGCACACATCCTGCCTGTAAGTGGCTATCTGGTTGAACCAGTCTAGTTTGCCTCAAAACAAAAAGAAACATGCAAAGGTTTTATGAAACATGTTGTCTGTCCCAATAGGTTCCAGACAATCTAGTTGGTAGTAGTTATTCAGTAATGTGCTGAATAGCCTTTATCTGGGCCAGGCAAATGGGCTAAAAGGGAGACAGAATCAGGTCAGAGCTGTTTTCGTTCTCTGTCAAGAGGATACACAATTACTCACTGTGGTGACTTTGGGAATTAATGAACCATTGAAATAGATACAATCATTATTGTGTTTCAAGTCTGTATTACAAAAAGGCCATATCCAAACTAATGAGGTTTGTTTAAGCTCATCTTGAAATTTCTTCATGAATTTCGTGTACAGTAGCACAAAGAACAAATCCATCGTGAGCTATAGTTTGCTCACCTGTTCAGGCCTGAGGCCGGGTGGTACCCAGGCGTACTCTTCCAGTGCACAGCCTGAGTCATCATCAGAGGTGGAGCTGCGCTGGAACCCAGAGGTCAGCTTACTGACTTTCTGCTCCATCATCAAGTCTCGCTGGCGTGCTCCACCCTGGAAACCAGCCACTGACACTGCCGTGGTTGCCAGGCTCATCATACTCTTCTTTTACTAGACAGACAAGATAAAAAAAATTGTAAGGATTAGGAGAAGGGAAGAAAGTTGAATTGGGATAAGGCCATGAAAAAGAGGGAGGACTCAAGTAGACATAAAATTCTGGCCAGAAGCCATCCCCAAATAATACTATCGTCACTCCATCTAATCTGGTTCTCTCATGTCAGCACCATTCCACTGAATGTTAACCACCAGAGAATCACACCATCTCTGCCTCTTTCATGAGGCCCACAGCCCCCCTCAAAGCCTCATTATGGTATTTGAGCAAGCTTTTTTGGTTCACTTCTAGTGAGTGGACTCCATAAACAGAACTATACCCTTTCACTGTTATTGTGGTGGCAGTAAAACATGTGCCCTCCTCATGTGGCTTTTGAGAATATAGAAACATTAAGAAATTCCCAAAGCTTCCTGAGGTGACACCTGACCTCATTTTAGTGACAAAAACAAGCAGCCAGAGATTCATAAATATACAGTGAATAGAGAATTTTATATGTGCACCTGGTCTCAGACAGTGTTTTACAGACCACACAGTCATTTGTTATACTAGAACTGTATTTTAGCCTGCTGAGGTGCTACATCATACTGTCTCAGGAGGGATCCCCATATGGGATCTGATGCTGGCTTGATCAGTTGAGCCTGAGGTCTGTATAAACACAGGCCTAGCCTTAAAACAGGGCCACCATATGGGAAATGTCCACAAGCCTGGTCACTCTGTCCATCTCCCCTTTTTCTGTGGACTGTTTGTTTTCCAACCTGCTGCAATGTCAGCTCAACCTTTCGTCTTTTAGATGGACAGAGCATTGTCAGACAGGTGAAGTGCTTGGACGGGGGGATGGATAGTCAATAATGCACTTCTACACAACCACACATTTGAAAGACAGACATAAAATAAGCCAATGCCTGTTCTTTTAAAAGTCTATCTCATGCTAACTGATGGTGGTGAGTCATATTTCTGTTCTGTGACAAAGGGAAATAGTATCAAGTTCACTCTGTTTGTGAAAAATCAGTTCAGAAACTTTCATTTGTTTAGGCTAATTATGAAGAATATTTAGTTACCAACCAATTCACTCCAAAAAGCCTTATAACTTAATTTCCTGAGCTGCTGTAAGCTCTGACAGACCAAGCAGACATGGAGATGAGTGAGGAGATGATGAATGTGCGTCCAGTTGTGATCTTTTCTCACAGACCAAGGGCTCTAGCTGAGATCAAATGGGAGCACAGCCAGCATCCAACAGCCTGTCCCTTGCACCCCCTCCCCCTGAGCCTATACCCCCTACGGCTGGCAAGGGCATAGAGGGCTGCGGATAAACAGCTGAGAAAACCAGACCCACTTGAATGCAGCCTTTGAACACAGGCATGAAAAGGGGCCTGAAAATCCACGCTCTCTACCAGGATGATACATATGCCTGGCTGTCCCTGGGAGTGTGCAGCTCCTATGCATGCGTGAAAAGGGAATGGAATTTATGCTGAAGCATCATGGGTGCAGGCATGCAGGCTACTGTGGGTTATGCTAGTCCACACACATACATACAGTAGAGCGCTGTAAACAGAGTCGGCTGTATTCTCATGCATGCTTCTTCTTATTTAGTGATGACTCTTTCCTTGAAAGAGGCAATAAAAACCCTAAAGTGGATGGCCAATTGCTTCACACACTGAGCGACGGGCCACGTGGCTCATCATCTTCCTCAAGGACAGGTCAGCCCCCATGGCCTCACCGAGTGGACCAGTTAAACGCTGCCAGAGTTAAGCATGACTGATAGTAGTGGCAGTGGATTCATTGCTTATTTTTTAAATTCCTGACTGCTTTGTACAGTACAACAAAGTGTTAAGTCAGGCAGAATGGCTTATAATATGTCCCATTAAAACACCCCTAATGTCCTGAACAATGATGCCTTTGTGAAGGAATCTTCTGAAGGCTTGTCCCATCAAGAGTCTGTTTATCTACCTTTAAGTCTTTTTTTCTCAGAAAGATGTGGATGTGGTGGGTTATCTCCATATATTTGACAGTTAAAGCCCTCAAACCCAGATAACCTGTCTACAGATGAGAGAGCAGGGCAAGAAATAAGACACTCTCTTGTTCTATTTGCATCTATTGACTTGCAAATGAGACCAAAATACCCTGCAAAAATGTGGCCTTGTTTGAGAGCAGCTTGGGTTTCACATGAGAGATAGCTAACTATAGGCAGGTTTGGTCAGGACCCTTCACATCCTCACATGTTATCGGGTACACACTCACTTGTGCTCAGCATTTGTTAGAAAGCTGTTTGCTTTCACATGCCGGCCAAGTGTCTACGAGGATGTCTCACAGCCAAACCTGACTCCCAGGAATGTCAGGCCTCAACTTTAGCCAGGTCCACAAAGGGGCATATAGGATCTGCACAGTGTTAGGTAAAGCCCTTTTCTCATACAACCACATCTGCTTGCATGCTAATTTTTCCTTTAGATGTCATGTTACTTAACTTCTTGAATGAACTGAACTGAAGCACCAAGCCAGCTAACTTAACCATGCCCATATTGACTTGCCAACTTCCTGACTCATCACTTGTGTTGGCTTTTAAAGTTTTTCTCCTAACAAGGGGCTTATGGTTTGTGAGATTAGTTTTTAAACTCCCCCTCTGTGCCGGTCCACTCCCCCCTGCCCTGCCCTCCTCCCACACGAGCCAGACCCAGGCAGTCCTGAATGTTTAACAGCCACTCACTCTTTTGTAAAGGTGCTTGTTAACATGGCTTTGAGAGCTCCAGGCCTGCATATGGGACGGCTCTGCCCACATAGGGCCAGAGGTTGGTGGGGGTTCTATTAGACTGAGGATAAAATGAAGCAACTGACATGTATGATAATGTTAATGTGTCTTGTTCCACAAAAAGGGGAGGAAATTTAGGTCAAGGCAGGTGAAAGAGAGAAGCTCAAACACATCCTTGCTTTAAAAGTCAATGAAGATTTTAAGACATCCCACTAACTATTTAGAATGAATGAATTGGCTTGTATACTAGAAAAAAGTGCACAATGACTCCAGTAGTCTTGTTACAAAGACAGCTTATATTCAAACAAGCTCTATATAACAGGAACTCAGTGAATGAGTGGGTGCAAAACTGATTCACTATAGAAAAAAATGATCACGATGTGTTTTTAGCCTCAACAAAGTACTGTGGAGACAGTGTAAAATTATTTATCACTTTGAGAAATACAGACTTCTCACAGGACGTCATGCTATGTCTGACCAGTAAATACAGCTGCAAGTGACATGTTTAAAGAGTATTCAGCAACACTTCAACCAAAATCCAGACACTGGAGCTTTGGATTAACAGCCTGAGAGAGAGTGCACAGGAAAAATAAGCAGCCTCTGGTCTGAATTACTGTCTGTATTCCTCTAGGAAGTGGATGATGGACATGGACACACAACCCAACACAGTCCTCTCTGTCAGTTTGGACCAGCCCAACATGTTTAACTTGGCTCCTGTGAGCTCAGTAATGCAGGATAGGCTCGATTTCAAGAGAAAAGTGAAAAGAGATTTTCTGTTCTAAGTCCCTGCTTATTTCAGCTTGACCTCAGAAACATCCGTTTTTTATATCAATCAAGATACTATGTCTTAATATCAGAACAATATGCAGCATATTATTGCTCTCCCTGTACACACAAATGTCAGCTTGTTGACTATAGGAGCATAATATCCTTTGTAAAAGAAAAACTAGTGTCATCAAACTAGAAGCCAGATCAGATCTGTTAGACAGTTAGATCCTTGTGTCATCCAGCAGCCTCATATGTACCTAGGTAAATCAGTGTTTAGGGTCAAAGCTATAACTGCATGAGTCAGTAAATAAAGCAAGCGTCATAAAACCAATACCTGAAAAACAACACCGAGCAACTTCACAGCATTTGTCTCTGCACAGGATTTGAAGCCAATCAGCTTGAAAATGCCAAAGTGGAACTACTGCTGGAAAATCTGACAGAAGGACACGAGAGGAACTTGGCTTTATGCGGTGCTGAGGTGCTACATGGCTGGAGTTTGGTCAGCTTGTGGAGGCCTCCTTTCTCGACTGGGGGAGTGTTTTCCAAGACCAAATGGATGGGAGTGATGTCCCCACAGAGATCTATGCCAGGAAGACCACCTGCATGAGCTGGCCAGATTGAAGACTCAACACGCACATGCTGCTGTCACATAGCAGCACACATCTACATCCCAGGGGATTCAGTGTGCAGTATAGTAGACCTAAAACCAGCTCTTTGAACACTGAAACCCTTCACACCTTCATATTTGGTAAAAGTACAGACTTTGTTTTAGCAAAAGATTTAGCAAAGAGCTTCACATAACTATAATGTGGTGTTAGTCACTAAAATATTGGGATTAATTATTAAACCATCCTCCCATTAAACTAAATAATCAAAGAGTAGTCGTGTACATCTTAGTCTAACAAAATCATGATGAGTTGTGAGTGCAATGCTTTAACATCCTCACGCAGTTTCTCTTTCAGCTTCACTACAACCAAAGCACATTCCTTTAAGAATTCTGATTAGATCTTCCTCGGTCACTTTCCTGCCAGTCTTACCTCAGTGCAGGCCAACTCTCCTGATGTGAAGATGAACAAGGGTCTTATCACCGCTATATCCTGCCCTAGATTCTTTACCAGCCTCTGGGCTCCATATCTGTGCAAGATTCTCAGAGCTCCAAGTCCAGAACAGAGAGAACAACAGTCCTGTACCAGAGCTGTCAGTGCATATCAAAGCTGAGACTGTAAAAATGTGTCTGAGTGCGTGGGAGAGAGTGTTTGAGAGGGGTGTGTGCATGTGCATGTACATGGAGGAGCTCAACCAGATGGTCAACCCATCCTTGTCTCTCTCACCTATCACCCCTCCTCCTCTTCCTCCTCCTTCCCCCCAACCTCTTAACCTCAGTCCGGCCCCTTAACCTCAGAGCAGCCAGTCACGGCAAGGTATGGAAGAGAGAGGCGTCTCTCCTTCGCTGACCCTCCCCTTGTACTTCAAACATATGCTTCCAAA